ATGGCTCTCCTGCCGCACTATAGCCACAGCAGGGACAGGCGGCAAAGTCAAGCCTGCTATCACATCTAGTTACTGTAGCAGTATGGCTGCCTGATATGTCTGTGTACTATTATTAGATGGATAGAGTTATATATATAGTTTGCCACTACAACTCAGTAAAGAGAATGGGTTCAGTTTGTCATCTTCTCTGTAGAGCTTCGGCCAATGCTGATGCTTGTGTTGTGTGTGCGCTCTATTCTCCCTCACTTCTTCTATCTATAACCATAGTGTGTGGTCAGCAATAATTGTGCGTGATCGGTAACGCTGGTGAATGGTCGACTCGTCCGTTCCGAATGATCCAGGGGCTAACAGTTATGCTAGACATGATCAAACCCGAAACCTAAACCAACAAGTACCTAAACATCAAGACACCACTTTAATCTTTTGATCTATGAAGTACAGAGCAAGCAAGAACATCTTGATCAAGGACTGGGGAGACAAGGCGAGCAAAGCCATCGCATTATGAAATCAGGATGGAGTCCCAGTCGATCTCCACGGAGGGGTACTTGCGCAGGTGGAAGCTCTCGGACTCGTCCCATGGCGCTTCTGAGAAGTCGAGCAGTTGCATCTCCGGCACCACGTCGGAGGACCCAGTCGAGGACACGTCGCCGTCTGCGGAAAACGAGCTGTCGGAGCCGGAGCAGCCCGGCTCGCTCTTGACGTCTGGGCTCGCCGAGGAGAAGGAGTTCGGGGTGGTTGTGGTCGTCGCCGTCGCCGCCGTGGCGTTGCTCTGGCTCTGCGGCGGCGGCACGACGACGTCCGTCGTGCCGTTGCAGATGGCGTGGAGCTTGGCGTTGACCGCGGAGTGGAGCGGCGGGCCGAGGTGCTGGCCGCCACGCCTGAGCTCGGGGAAGTTGAGCCTGGCGGAGTCCCGCGGAGGCGGAACGCGGCGCTGTCGTAGGCGAGCGCGGCCTCCTCGTCGGTGTCGAAGGTGCCGAGCCAGAGGCGGGTGCGGTTGCGCGGCAGGCGGATCTCCGCCACCCACTTCCCCCAATGCCGCTGCCGGACGCCGCGGTACAGCTTGGACACCGCCGGTCGCGCGGGGAGCGGCGCCGGCGGCACGCCCTGCCGCTTCATCTGCTGCGTGGCCACCGCGGCCAGCGTGGCGCCGCCCGCCGCCGCTGCCGCTGCCGGCCCGCGCAGGAACTGGAGCCGCGATTGCACCTGGAGAATCTGTGCCGGGGTCAGCAGGCCACTACCGCCGCCGGCGCCCAGAAACGGGCCCGCCGTGCTCTGCTGCTCCACGCCGGAGCAGGGGTACGCGAACGAGATGGTCGGGACCGCCTGTTGCATGGGCGGAGCAAGCGCGCGCACCAGCTCCTTGCTGTCCGCCACGCCATACAAGGCGGCGTTGCGGCCGTGCCAATCTATCGTCGTAGCCGCCATGGATTCTTGCACGAATTCGGAAGAGGGAAGCCGAGAGAATCTAGAGAGAGATCTCGAGAGCGAGCGTAAACAATTCGCGGGGCGCAGCGCGGAGATTGAAGGCCGAAGCGAGCCGTTCGATGAGCAAGAGCAGCCGTTGCGGGGGCTCTTTTATAAGCGAGGAGGGAGTTTGTTTTGGCCAATGGGAGAGCGCCAAGTGTCCGCGCTCGTCCCCCGCTCGACACGTGTCTAGATCTTTCACCGCAAGGGACGTGCAGGTGCCGGTAAACGGTGGGTACCTGGCAGCCCCTGGTTGGCCGAGAAGCGGTCTGACCTGGTAAGACGAGGGAGATCTACTCGTACAGTACTCCTATCTGTCACATGCCTGTCGGAGTGAGCGAGTGAGCGCGAGCGTGCTCTACGCGGCAACTTGTATGCTACGGTCTCAAACTATTATTTTGCTGTTGGCTGATAAGATCAAGCGAACATGCCATTCTATCTTGATGTGTGAGAGAGAGGCTCGATTGTTGACCAGACAAATAAAGGTGGTCGTCACCACATTGCACAGATCCTTTCAGTCAACACCCATCGGTGCGTGCTGGTATCCCAAGGCTGACACGTCCTCTCCTTTTCGGCAAATGCCAACATTGCCAAGCGAGCGAGCAGAGCACGAGCGAGTGCAGCCGCGTTTCAGCGCGGAGAGAAAAGCGGCTTTTGCGTGACTGACAGGCGATGATGGAATGGGCGGACAGGGACAGGGACAGGGACAGCGCGCGTGTTCTGGCTGCGCTGCCATCTTCCTCCTTTCCGATCGATCGACGCCGAGAGAGAGAGAGTGGAAATGGAAGCGGAAAGGAAAGCGGGCAGGAGCAGGCGCGGGGAGGGCCGGTTGAAGGCGTCTGCAGCCACAGAACGGAGGGCGAAATCGGCCGGGGGAATATTGACGTGTCGGGCCCTCGGCAGGGAGGGTACAGCCCGAAAGAAAGAAAGAACGAACCAGTCCTGAGGGGCTTTTTGGATCCGCGATCACCGATCCTGTGGGATGGAATGGCACTGACACTCGGTGGGTCTAGAGGTGCCTAACCACAACCGTTCTTTTCGTTTGACTTATAAACTATTTTATTTTAATTAATAAATAGTATTTTTCTCTCATAACAAATCAGTCAACGGTGTTTTTAGCGAAGCTAGCAGGGCAAACATCAGCCAGTGGCTGCGCGGGGGTTAGCTTGGCTTAAAAGGGCCTTTGTCCGCGTCTTCAAGCCCCGGATCAAATCTGGTTCCTGTGGTACGATACGATGGGATGGACACAGCAGGCACGCACGATACCCTCGACACAACGCAAGACATTCCGGAACACGAGAGTTCTTGAGAAGGACTAAGAAAACGTTTCCAAGCAAACTGGATAACGTTTCCGTGTGGTTTGGTGCAAGGCTACAGGTATGTAGCCTCGGCAGCACGGCTCATACAGTGCGTGACCTACTGACCTTCCACAAGACCACGGAAGGAGACGGACACACGAAAACGTCACCAAATAGTGAAGTGATGCGCCTAGAGAAACGTCTCGACGCAAGCTACGCCTAGAGAAACGTCTCGATGCAAGCTGTGGATCCTCGTGTGGTATGTAGAAAGCCTGGATGAACAGGTACGATAGTAGCCTGAACAGCACGGTTCCTACAGTACACATGAGCTTCAATCACGACCCGAGCCGAGAGATTCGCCAGGCAGTTCACTGATAAGAAGCTTTCTAGACAAGGATTATTAAAGAAACATCTCGAAGCAAACAGCAGAGGACCCACCAACTAAACCACTTCGTTCGTGGCCTCTTTCCAGGAATTAGAAATCACGGTCTAACACTTAGGCCACGGCTAGAACAAGGCCCACTAAGCAACCATCATCTCCTTTCTCCTAATAAGAAAAGAATGTGCAAGAACAGAAGCAGAAAGGTGAGCGGTCTGCAACACTTATCAGTTTATTAGTGCCTTGTGCATCCACAAAACGGTCACACAAAGCTGGGTCTGTGTGGTCTAAACATCATATGGTTGCCGTGGAGATAATGTTCTAAAGTATGGGTTAAGAACTATTACGTGCGGATGATAACATTTTAAATGAACTCGTGGCTGCAGCTCCTCAACAAGGATTAGTGCCCATTACGCAGCCCCAAGGGGGGAATCAGGGGCTAATGACGCAGCAGCCAAACTGGCAACAGGCTAATCATGCACTGTACGAAATGGTTAGGTCTTCATGCCCTGTCAGGAAACTTGTGACAAATTTGGTGACGGCATGCAGCTCAGCAACACCTCAGACGATATAACTAAAGTAGTCGACGCACTACAAGTATAGCATGCTAAAAGATCAGGAAGAAACTGAGTAGTGTGACAAAAAGGACGATTGACCTCACCGCTTTGGGCATCATTCACTACCGTAGAAACCAGAAAGGAGTCACAATTGGTCCCACATATAGAACCTCAAACTAAAACAACTGTTCTACTACAAAATATAAGTGGTCCAGAGATAAGGTTGGACATTTTCCGGTTAATCACCACATGCGGCTCTAGTAAAACAGCCCTCGGCCCCTCACATGATAGTATTACTTTACATGTGAAAATTGTGACCAAGAAAAAACATTCAAGGCAAGGAAACACGGTTCCTAAGATAGACATATAGAAATACAGTTTCTAAGACTAAGACAGACAATCACAGAACACAGACAAGAGTAGTCTTTGGCAAAGGGTTTGTCAGAAAAGAACATAACCTTTTAGTTGAACAGTGCAAAATGTTTATATACTCTGCATCTAGGATAAGGTTTATAAAAAGATAAACTAAAGATAAGGATTAAGAAACTCAAGATGATTCATAAGAGACTACGCTTCAACAACCATGACAGGGAGTTCTTCACTCTGAATAAGCAAGCAAATTTTCAAGGTTCAGGCCACCATATAAATATGTCAATCCATTATCCTTTAGCTACCAAGTTTTAGTGATTGTGAGTTGGATGCCATGAATGTGTTTTGCATCAACAGTAAACTATTCACTGATCCAGACTGATCAGGTCAATATTTGGCTGGAACCAAATTGTTTATCTGTGTGCATATTAGCTGCCATTTCAATTCGATTAAGTAATGACTCATAGTGATATGGTTCAAGTCAAGTTCAAACCTTCAAGGACAGAACTGTTTATATTAAAAAAAAATCTGAAAACATATATTAGCCTAAAAGCACCTACATAGTGGAAGTCAATATGTAGATTTTAAATATTTTTTTACTGAATAAAACTGGCAGAAACTACATGAATAAACAGGGTAGTCATCATTCTCAAAGGTCAATCATCAAAAACATAGGAGGGAAACCACGGATATGGTTGAGGAGAATAGAAATGGGACAGGAGACAGCACAATTCATCCATAAGCTTGTAGACAGATGATGGTTCCTCACTTTAAGAAACAGTATATTAATATGCTGATATGCTGAAGTGCTCTGATTCTATGCACGTCATTTCAATGTTTCACATTTCAATTATCATAGTAGAGAATTATACATTCTTGAATAAATGTCAGCGCTACCAGATTCAGCATATCTAATTTCAACAATGTCATCACCTAATAAACAAATGCATTAGTTACATTGGGCTGCAAAAGAAGTGAAACATTGCAACAGCACATACTGTGATTTGAACAAGGGAGAAAACATTGCTCAAGATGGCCATGTAGTTGAGGTTATCTTTCTGCTGCATAATGGGCAAGCTTCAATCTTACCTCTTCAAGCTCAACATCTTCCATATCATCATTGCTTAACCATGAAGATAAGCAGAAATCAACAACATGAATATCATTGTTTATTGGAGAAAAACCAGCAAAATTGTTAAGTCGTCCAAACTTAAGCATGTTTCCTAGATTTGCAGCAGATGGTCCCTCTGCAAACTTAAGCAGGGTGTCTTTCATAGCAGAAGACCAGATAGACCTAGCCATCTTCAAAAAGCAGCACAAAGTTGTAATAGCGAGCTTAACCGTTCCAACGTCAGATTCATCTTTTCCACCTCTTCCATGGAAATCTGAACCTCCAAGTTTCAGAAGTCCATACTTCTCAGCTAATTCGCTAAATCCTGTAAAAAGAAATTATGTAGGGCAGACCCAGTGCCGGAGGCTCCCACATGAGTGGGGTCTGGGGAAGGGAAAAACCGAGGCAAGCCTTCCCCCCGCAAATCTGCGGAGAGGTTGCTTCGAACTCACGACTTGTAAAAAGAAATTATGTAATGTTATTTAAATATATCATAATGAGTAAGGATAAAAATATTCTCTGTTGACAGAAGGACCAATATATGCTAATAGATAGAGAGTTTAGTTCATGGCAAGAGCCCTCCACTCTATCTCAAATCAGCATGCATTAAGTGTAAGAGACACACCATCAACTTTTCCATCACTTCTGTAGACCTCCATACCATTAAGACCAGCACCTTTTAAAGACCTGATTATTGCATCTGGGTTCTTCAATGACCAAGGATGAGCAAGTGCAGAAATACCCCCAGTGCGACTAATTAACTGCACGACAGTCTCAGCAAATGGTTCACTTCCTCTGCCAGAAAAAAACACATGCCTTGTGTTATTAACCAAAGATTTTTCAGCATAGGAAATGCTTATTTGGGATGAAGAAATAACCTGGCATATGCAGGGCCATCATCGCCAAGGTATTTGTTGAATGCTTGCCTTACATTCTCTACATAACCCGCTTCAACCATAGCCCTTGCTATATGCAATCGGCCAGGTGCCACTCCGTCACCAGCAATTTTAGTCACATGCTCCCACTTTATTGGCACCTTCAGTGTAGTTAGCTTTTGCAGCATGTTCTTTGTGCGTAAGTATCGCCCATCTCTAATGTCCAATAGCATGCTGTCCAATTCATCAGGCCTTGACGGACCACACATACCATAGTATGCAAAGATATGAACAGTCTCACCAGCACCAGCAACTTCCCTTATAGACAATGAAATTGAGAATATAATGAAAATGACATGAAACATCTGTACTCATAGTACAACAGTTAAAATGTTGTTTACAATACCATTTTAACATAAAGGCAGCGGAGAATTAAAACAAAACTATTGCAGATCTATTGACAATGGAGTGCAAATGATAAGATGATTGGCTTATTAAATTATGTGGTATTGCTGGTTTTCATTCAAAACACAAAGAAAGATCTTTTCGCTGAAAGATAAAAGGCACTTACCTTGGATTATATAGCGCACTGATTTCAACACCAGGAATTATTCTAATGCCAAACTTGGAAGCTGCTGACACAGCTTCTGGTATGCCAGCCATGGTGTCATGATCCGTTAGGGCGAGAACTTTCACCTATGCCACAAACATCATAGTTTAGTCGCTCCTATATTCGTTATTCAGAATCTACAGTATACCCCAACAGGACATAACATTTAAGCAAAAGACTTTAGGAGGTAGATCATGGTATTTAGTGCAGGAAACATTTCATGGGGAAAAAACTACAAGGCCTCATTTTTTTAATAGCAATTAGCCAAGAAATGCATGTCAGAAGATGACCGATTCAATCAAATTTAACTAAAATATTTATTTCCATATTTATTCTATTACCTCTTAGAAGGTAATAAGTCACCATATCCATCTAGATCAAAACTAGATGGACGGTGCACAGTTATTTTGGTGTACCATGGCAACACCCATAAAGTATTCATCAGACAAGTGTTGAAACGTTAGAGGTAACAACTACCCCCTGAATTCTCCAGCCACCAGTACAGCACGTGTACATCCTACTACGAAACAATGATACCATAACCATGTCCCTTATTTGTAATCAGCTACGTACACCGGCAGGTACAACAAAATGGGCAGCATACCAACGCAGTGCTCGGATTAGCTTAGCGCCAGAAAAGTACAAGAAGTCGATCCCACATGGTACAGCACAAGTGCACAACGCCGCCGACTAAACCTCGCAAGCATTTCCTCAAACGCCTACTGGGCAAACGGACTAGAGATCAGGTAGATCTTAGTCACTTACCTTGCGATGGGCGCGCTCGACGAGCGCGGAAGGGGAGAGGAACCCGTCGCTGTGGTTTGAGTGGGAGTGGAGCTCAAACAGCACATCGCCCCCGCGCGTAGCCAGGACCGGCAGGAAGTCGTCGGCGTCGGCCGCCGAGGGTTCCCGTGGTGGCGGCGCGGGTTGCGCCCAGGCGCGGACGTAGTCTAGGGCCAGGGCCTGGTCGGCGCTGGTTTTGTGCTTCTTCTTGCTCCTGCTCGGCTTCGACTTCTTCTTTTTTTCCCATGCCGGGGACCCGGGGTTTTGGGAGGGGGAGAGCGGAGGTGTGCCTTCGCCTGATCGCCCGCGCCGCGAGGGAGGTTCGGAATTGGGGAAGAGGCCGGAACGGGGTTCTATTCTTGCGCACCGGCACGACCCTGCTGCTTCTGGAATTGCGTCATGAAGGATTCAAAATTATTTGTTTGTCTCAAAGTTGGTGACTTGAAAACTGATTGAGATGAATTTAAATTCATCAATGAACTGTATGGATTTTTCTATGGATAATGATCCTATTGCGGTTAAATTCATCAATAAAATAAAAAATTGATATTTTTGCCACAGCACTCGATGTGCCTCTTTCTTCACCAAAAAAAAATTATAACAAGAATTTCACGTGTTCTGTGTTCTCGGTATATCAAAAGCACTTTGAATTCGTGCATTGAGATTATATCAGACATGGTTTGTTTTGTTCGAATTTTAAAGGTTGTATCGGACTCGCGCAAATTAGTCAATGTGAGAGTGCGTTGTATATGAATACATGATAGAAAATTGTTCTCGGGGACGTAACTCTACATGTTGTTCTACGATCCATTTGATATATCTTTTCTAGACATTTTTCTCTTAATTACTCTCGAGTTTTCTCAAATTAACTATAGATACACATTTTTCATGCCATCGAATGTACCAAAAGATTGGGAAAAAAAATGAAAACACCAACTCATCTTACATCTATGGGTTTTTCAATTATGACATTTTTTTATTTTAAAAAAGACTGATAGAATTCGACCAACACGGTCTTTTTTTTAGTTGAAGTAGTGAAGTAAAGTCTATATGGTATATCGGTATTGTTATATTTGTTCTAAATTAAATAGTTCAAGAATATTTAAAAACAAAATAATAGTAGAAGCATGAACGATATAAATTCAAAATTGTCAGTTAATAAAAAAACGGGGATACATCTCGATGCACTTCTAGCCCGTTAGCCCCATATGCACAGCAGCACAGCACCAGCACAGGTGTCGTGTTTATCATTCATCTCTATCAAACTGAAGGCATGGCAAGTTTGTCATGTAATCGCACAGAGATCAAACAACGGAACGGACGTGCAGAAATTGCTGGAACGAGAGTCATCTGCTCGTCAACGGACAGCCCTATTCTTGCAAAGACATCTCTAAATTGGCAGGCCGACAGGCTAAAACTAATTGCTGGACGATTCTTGGATAGAAAACACAACCAATTCAGGAGTGGACGCCAACCGAAGAACCAGAATTTAGCCTCCCGATTTTTTGCGTCCTCCTGTCTATAAATCCGCGGCTCGAAATACACGGGCCGGGCACTTTCCATCGAAAGCCCCGGCCTTCCTCGCTTTGCGGCATTGAATTTGCATGGCGACGATGAACGCCAGAGCGCTGTGCCTCGCCGTCGCGATCGTCTTCTCCGTGCTCTCATGGCAGGCCCTCGCCGCCGGCGAGGGCTCCAAGGAGGCGGACAAGATCGCCGCGCTGCCTGGCCAGCCGAAGGATGCGGTCGTCCAGCAGTATTCCGGCTACGTCAACCTCGACGACAAGGCCGGGAAGTCGCTCTTCTACTACTTCGTGGAGGCCACCGCTGATCCGGCGACAAAACCGCTTCTTCTCTGGCTCAATGGAGGTAAAATTTTAGAGATTGTTTTCATGTGTGTATTCTCGTCTCTACGTTTCTCTCTCACTCTCTGAATGAATGAGAAAAGATACCGCTTAGCATATAAATCCAGACGGCAGGCAGATGATTATTTTCGGCCGCCCTGATTGATTTATCGTTTGCGATGAATGGAGTACATTTCTGCAGGGCCTGGATGCTCTTCCTTCGGAATCGGAGCATTCCAAGAGATCGGGCCGTTCCGTGTCGATACGGACGGCAAGACCCTCTGCAATTTCAAATACGCCTGGAACACAGGTCACATCACATCTACCTATACAGAATGAAAAATGATTGCAATTATTATCGATAAGTACTGTGAAAATAAAATATAATACGGTGCAGTGGCGAACGTGCTGTACCTGGAGAGCCCCGTGGGCGTGGGCTTCTCGTACGCCGCCAACACGGACGCGTACAAGGTGATGGGCGACAACATGACCGCGGACGACTCGCTGCAGTTCCTGCTCAAGTGGCTGGACCGCTTCCCGGAGTACAAGGGCCGCGACTTCTTCATCGTCGGCGAGAGCTACGCCGGGCACTACGTCCCCGAGCTGGCCGCCGCCATCCTCGCCGCCAAGAACGCCGCCATCAACCTCAAGGGGATCGCGGTGGGGAACGCGATCCTGGAGTTCGCGGCGGAGCAAGCCGCGCTGTACGAGTACCTGTGGCAGCACGCGTTCCTGTCGGACTCGGCGCACACGCTCATCGGCCAGCGCTGCAAGAACGCCGAGGACAACTCGCCGCTCTGCTCGGGGGCCAAGGACACGGCCTACAACCAGCTCGGCAACGTCGACGTCTACAACATCTATGCCAACACCTGCCATGACAAGAATAAAGTCAAGCCCACGGGATCCAATTGCATGGTATGTACACCATGCATATATATCTAGCTATAGCTATCTGCTGATATGATGGCCGTTTCGTTCGTCGGTTCGTCCTCCTAGCTAGCAGCTCAAGCTAGGCCAGTGTTGAGGATCATTTTAATTTCGATCTCAAGCGCAGCTCCATGTATATACATGTCTGCACTCTGCAGGACTTGGCTGATCCTTGTGCTCAATACTACGTGGAGGCGTACCTGAACCAGCCAGAGGTGCTGAAGGTCATCCGTGCCAACACAGGGCTCAAGTACAAATGGACTAGATGCAGGTATATATATGGCTCTAGTTACGTTGTCCTTCACCGCAATACAAGCTAGTGCTTCCGTTGACACGAAGAAATCGATTGAACCCTGTGGTGGACGGGATGGCACAGGCAAACGTTCTACAACCTGCTCAAATTCGGCGACTCGCCGACGAAATCTATGCTGCCGTACATCAAGGCCGTCGCCGGCGGCGGCGTCCGCGTGTGGGTCTTCAGGTCGGTCGATATGCCCCTGCCCCATGCATTATCTATCTCAAATCTCAACATGCATGCGCCATTGGTATTTGGTTAGCTAAACAATATAATGCGAATGTCACCTGCAGTGGCGACCTGGACGCGATGGTTCCTGTGATCGCGACGAAGCAGTCCATGGAGAAGCTCGGCCTCGGCGTCTTGGCGGACTGGCGCCCCTGGTCCATCGACAGCAAGGACCCGGAGGTAAGCATGCATGCATATATATATGCAGTTGCCTGCCTTTGCATGCCCTTTGGCGGTGGCATCCTGAATGAACTCGATCTAGAATGCGTGTGATGGCTGAGATCGAGCCCGTGACGGCGGTGACGATGATATATTCTCCATGTATGCATCATGGCAGGTCGCCGGGTACGTGATCGAGTACAAGGGCGTGGTGTTCGCGACGGTGCGCGGGTCCGGGCACATGGTGCCCATCGACCGCCCGGACCGCGGCCTCGCGCTCTTCTCGTCCTTCATCAAGGGGGAGCCGCTCCCCAAGGCCGCGCCGATGGTCGACGGGTGAAGAGGCACGGCAGACGGCACGCGAGAGCCAGCCACCTGCGGCCGTGCCCCGGCGGGATTCAATTCGCTGCTCATGTTCAAGGAGCCACGGTCGTTGGGACTTCATTCTTGCGCGGCGTTTCATTTCAGTCTTCTCTCTTACTAATCCATATACTGTTTCCGTTTCCACGTCAATTTAACTACCAGGCCGTACTGACAAACTAAGCTCTGTGACCTCAACTGTTGTATGAATGTTTCGGTGCCGTCAACTAATTTTTGAGCATGCACAGTGTCGTCGACTAATTAAGGGTATGACTACGTTTGGAGGGTTCATGGAGCTAGAGCCGCTAAGCCAGTGCAGTACAGATTTTCTATCTTTATCGGCTTCTAGTTCTTTTGTGAAGGGATAGAAAACGGGTCCCTACTGCACGGCACAAGATTCATTAGAGTCGTTTTGGAAGTACTCCGTAGCAGCCTTCCTAAATAGGGCATAAATAAA